TCCAAGGCTTGAGGTTTCTCAAAGTTCCATTTTATTAGAGATGTCATATTGGCACATCTGGGAAAACCTGAATCTGAAACCTTCCAGATTTTCCACACCCAAATGAAAATCCAAGTCCCTGCCCAGCATCCACATGTCCATCACACGGCCCAATCAGGCACCGTCCCAACTGGAGATCCCACTCAGTCGCACCACTCAAGGTGCAGGGCAAGAAGTCCTTGACTCTCTGAGAAAGGAATGTTATTATGAGTATGTATCTCTCATATATCTAATCCCCCATCCCATTTTCCCACAGCATTGAATGTGGCAGGCTGGAAGGTCCATTGCAAAAGATGGCTTCCAGGCCTGACACATTCCTTCTTTCTTCTGTTTCTCACATGGTTGCTGCTGGCATACCAATTTACCATTAAAAAAGCAATAATCTAAACCTTGACAGACCTTTTTTCCCAGGGAAGCCTGGGAGATTCGGACTTGGTATATAACAGACTTGGCAAATACCAGCTGACTGATATTTTTTTTTTTCTACAGCTACAGAAAATGCGCAAAACCCTCTAGAAATCAAGTTAAAAGTGACAACAATGTAAATGCATTTCATTTTTTTCTTTGCATTTTTTAAAACCCCCAAATGATCAATGCAGAAATTCAGCAGAACAGAATAAGGTGAATGTATGTAAATGTGATCGAGGACTGAAAACAGATGGATTTTGCTCTCTGTTAGTGTTTTACTAGGAGCCACAGAAGGCCGAGTAGCAGCAGCTTCTTTTGTCAAATAATCTACAACTCTGGGGGAAAAAACATCCCTCCATGAGATTCAATTGTCTCAGCTGTGTACTTAACACAAGTCTCCCTCCAACCTGCTGCCCTTTAGGAATATTGGATGGCATCAGGTGGAAAAAAAAAATAGTCTACATATTCTCTCCACAACTCCTGCTATCCTTCCTGGAGCTTATCTCATAATAAGAAGCCATTTCACTTATGGAATAGCTTGGAGGCACCCAAATGAATGAAATATACATTCCTTTCTGAAGTGGCAAGCGAGAATGTTTTATCTCCACAGTCCAGGAAACATAGCTGTGGATGTACTAAATTAAAGGATAGCATTTGCAGGAAGCACTGGCCAGAACTAAACCAGATGCCCTACTGGGAACAGTGCAAAAACTGGCAAGGTTTGGCAAAACCCTTCAAAATACTAAATGCAAAGAGCTTTGATAGATGAGGGTATGATGCCAACTGTACTTAGTGAGTCCTTCTTGAGATCAGATGCTGGGCGAATGAAGCGAGGGGTACCCTGGGCTGTCATTTATTTATTTTCACCAAAGAGTCCACATTTTCTTCTCGTTAGGCATCTCTGTAGGCCAATCTNAAAAATAAGCCTGCTTATCCATTGATTCTCTTCCCTTTTTCTTCTAGCGGGCCTGGCCCCATTGCAAAGCATTTCCAGCGGGCTGAAGGAAACGATGAGCCCTCAAGATATTGTCCAAGACGCCATCCATAATTTCTCCCCGACTTACCAACAATACACGCAGCAATCCATGCAGGAGACGGAAGGGGGGCTCGGACAGAACGGCCACACGAGTCCTCCGGCGGAGGCCTCGCAGAGCAAGAAGACAAAGAGTCTCGAGAAACGGATGCTCATCGTCTCCGACGACGAGCTGTGAAGAGGCACCTGGAAGGAAGGAGAGTTCGTGGATTCGAGAGGGCTTCCCGCCTCGCTCCAACCCGGATCAGATGGCCTTGTTGAACGAAGCAACCGAGGTGTCTCGTTCTTGTTCTCAATGACCTATTGAGGGAAGACCCCCTTCCCCAGACGTAGGGTCAAACTTCCTAAATACAGCCAGATCTGCCCTTCTTATTTGTTGTGGCGGCTGGCAAAAACTCCCGGGAGTTTTTTGAGGCACTGGTTGTTGGTCCTGGGGCAGCCTGAGGGGCCACACAGAATTTCTCGAGGGACGCAACTCCTCCCATTCCCAATGCATGGCGATAATACTGATTATTGGCAGAGAAGGGACAAGGCAATGTAAGAAATGGACGAAAATTGGATGAAACCAACATTTTCATTCAAAGAATTGCAGCTGCATCCCATTGAAAGCGGATTCCCATTGTCCTCCTTTTTAAAAAAAATTGTTTTGTGGATCCAATCCATCGGGATTGGGAATCAATAGCTCCGAACCCTGGAGAAATAAAAGCACAATTTTTCTTCTTTCCAACGTAAGGTGCTGCAACAGGGTGAGGAATTATAGCGCCAGATTCCTTTGTGAAGTTGCACGGAGGCTGTCGAAGTTTCTGATTATAGGACGCACCTTGGATGTCAGAGGAATTGTGACCTCATGTTGGAAAAAAGAGGCATTGCATTACATTGAAAGTGTTAAATGTACTTCTTTCTATCTGGAGGATTCCGAGGGATGGCTATGAATCGCGTGTCAATCTGTACATTTCAAAAAAAAATGTGTAAATTATAAAAACATTTGTAATACTTTTTCCCACTGCTGTCTAACGCTGACAAATTTACTTTTGAGAGTATTCAAAGAGTCAGAGAACGCACTGATTCGGTGGTCATTTGGGTTGAATCTGGGATGGCCTATGGTTACTCACTGGTGCTGTAAGTTCAGTGGTCTCCAATCTTGGCAACTTTAAAGACTTGTGGACTTCAACTCCCAGAGTTGAACTCCACAGGTCTTAAAGTTGCCAAGGTTGGAGACCACTGCTGTAGTTCATAGTTGAAAACAAAGGAAGTAGCACACCATTGATATATAAGGGAGAGGATTTTTATGGCTTGTCAAATGCAAAATAGCAATGAGAAACTTTGGTCTATGCAGTGCAGCTCCTATTTATACTTCAGCCTTCTTGATGTCAGGAATGTGATGTTTCTCTCGTCTTCTGCAACCTTGAGATTTGTTTGGCAGTTTGTGGCTGCCTTCAAAACTTCAGACAGACAGCAAAAGTTTTACTTCACTTCTGCAAATGGTTGTCCGGATGTTGACCAGAGTTTGATAATTACTCTATGATATTTTATTTTTTTATTGGCAGATACAGTAATGTGACACTCATTGCTTCCTGAAAAATTATTTTAAAATCCAGAGAGGGTGTAAGCCCACTGCTAGATTTGGGCAACCTTAAGGAGGTGTGGACTTCAACTCCCAGAATTCCCTTGCTACCATGACGTTCACTCATCATAAAGAACCGAGGTGGCGCAATGGTTACGGTGCAGTACTGCAGGCCACTTCAGCTGACTGCTATCTGCAGTTCAGCGGTTCAAATCTCACCGGCTCAAGGTTGACTCAGCCTTCCATCCTTCCNAGCCGGTGAGATTTGAACCGCTGAACTGCAGATAACAGTCAGCTGAAGTGGCCTGCAGTACTGCACCCTAACCACTGCGCCACCTCGGCTCTTTCACGCCATGTTTCTTAGAAGTTGCTTTTTTTAAAAATCTGCCTTCTTAACTTTACCTCCCACCCCACTCAATCCACCCCCCAATGTCTCAGGATCCCTGGACTTCCATAGGAACGTTCCCACCAATAGTCCTCAACTTACGACCACAGCGGAGCCCCAGATTTAGGTTGCCAAGTGAGTTGTGCCCCGTTTATGACTTTTCTTGCCACCGTCGTTTAGCGAATCACTGCAGTTGTGACGTTAGTCACCCGGTTGTTAAGTGAATCTGGCTTTCCCTATCGACTTTGTCCGAAGGTCGCAAAAGGGGGGGATCGCGTGACTCCCGGGACACTGCGACCGTCGCAAATGTGAATCGTTTGCCAAGGGTCTGAATTGCGATCACGGGTGGGGATGCGGCCATGGTCGCGGGTGTGAAAAACAGTCGCGTGTCACTTTTTCCAGCAACACTGTGACTTTAAGCAGTCACTAAACAAGACGCAAACAAGCAAGAGACTTTGTCAAGCAACTCGTGAAAAGGACAGCATTCCTTTCTTCTTCTTCTCCTCCTCTTCTTCTTCTTTTCAAAAGCAGCTTCTATGAGAATAACGCTTCTTCCCGGTCTCCGTTATCTCCAACCTGGGGCGCCGTAACGAAAGGAGGGAAAAAAAAGAGGGACGGTGGCAGCAGGAGTCGAATGAAGATTCCTGCCGAGCCTTCCTCATCCCCTCTGGAAGGATTCGGACGGGCTTTTCCCCCGACTTTTCGCACCGCAAGACTAGACTTTCCACCCTGTTGAATCCTCAGCTGACTCCCCAGCGTTAACGGCGCATTTCAACCACCAGCCACCCAGAAAGGCGGTTTTCCTCATTTGTGGCTTTGGAAACAGATGGCCGTTTGAATCTTGATCCCTCGCCAGACCCGAGTTTTCAAGCGACGGAATGTCTGGATCCAGAAGAATTCGGTCCCATCCAGAGATTCTGCTCCGAAAGCCCCCCACCCACCCCAAAACCCGTTTCCCTTTTTTCCAAGCCTCCCAAGCGAGCCCCGAGTTTGCTCTCGGTGCTTTTCCTCCGAAGCGGGAGAACGCCACCTCCAAAATCCGACCCTCATCCCATGCCCCCCACCCCCCGGGGGTCATCGTTAAAAACAACAAAAGCAAACAATCCACCTGGAGATCCGTCTCTCTTCCTGGCTCCTCAAAGACAGGAAAGTCCCCAACCTCTTCCCAGCCCCACCTGTTAAGCTGCTCCCCAGTCTGAATCGACAGTCGAGAAGGGCGAGGATGAAGTGGGGAGGGGGGGGGTGTCTCATGAGCAGAGGAAAACAAGGCACCGCTCTCCTTTACTGGGAGCCCCCTCTGGTCTCCCAGCACAGGGGAGAAGCGAACCCAGCGGCCGATGCCCCTCCGTGCTCTCTCCGGCTGCCCTTCACTCTCACCTCAGGCACTCTCAACTACTTCCGAGACCGACTGTCTAGACTTCAGCGCAGAACCTCCTTCACCTGCATCGCATCGCACGGAGGAGGAGGAGGAGGAAGAGAAGGATGACAGCCTCGGAGCAGCTTCAGAGAGCCGTCTACCTACCACCGATGGAGAGGGCAATGCAGCTGTGACATCACAGTGGCTTCCTTCTCCCCCGCCAGCTTAGGCCACACCAGCCGGGCTCCAACATGAAAATCTGACGTGCCGAAGAAGCACGGGGCTTGGGGAGGCTGTAGGGCCGGGCATGGGAGACCGTTGGACCGGAGGGTCTTCCCTCCCCTGGCCGCCACCCGTCCGTCCGTCCGAGAAGCAAGCAAGGCTGGGATGGTGGCCGTGGGGACCCTGGTCCTCCATGCGCCGTCTACAGAATGTCACACGGTTCTAATCGTTAAACCCTCCCCAATTAAAAAAAGAGAGAGAGAGGAGAAGACGACATCTAGCCAAAGCATCCCAAGCATGATTTCCTTCCGATAGTTGCTATGGTGACCTTGGGAAAGTAGCCAACCCTGAGATGGTAACCATGGAAACAAGAGAAGCCCAAAAGCAAATCATGACTTGGGGTCATCTCTGTGCAAAGGCATCGGAGGGGGAGAGAGAGAGAGAGACAGAGGCAGTCAACAGATCCAGGCATGTCAGGACGCATGGGGCAGAAAGAGAAGGGAGGGGGGGGAGCGGGAGAGAAAGAGGGGAGGGAGAGGATGGATGGAAAAGTATTTGGGGGGGGGGTTGTTGTTGTTAGTTGGCTGGCTCAGCCCGAGCGGCTCCTGGCTTGACTTGTGCCAATCACCACCGTTCCCCATCCTCATCCTCAAAGGATTGGCGCAAAACTGGAAGTCCGTGGCTCTTGCCTTGGGAGGCGGAGGGGCCGAGCCAAGTTTCCTAACAGGCAATGGACATCCCCTCGGCCAGCCCTTCCTCCTCAGCCCCTCACAGCTGCCCCACTGAAGACCACGCCTTTGCAACACCCACAACACTCCCCCCCCCCGTTTGTTTTTATTAAAGAAACAGAGAAGCCATCAGCCCATCCGAGAAGGGAAGGTGCTTCCTTTGGAGAACTTGCCTCCTTCTGCTTACCAAGCCCAAGGAAACCTGTCCCCACGCGTCCCCGTCCCCCCCCAAACCAAAGGAAAGAATCTCAGGGCAGCATCCTAAGATCTCGTGCCTTGTTCAACTTCCAGAGTTGAACTTGTGCAGAAAAAGAACTAGCAGAAGGCTCTTTTTCCCCCTCTTCCAGGTTCTTAACTGAGGATTGGAGCAGGCAGGAAGAGCTTGACAATGCAGCAGGAACCCTGTGAGAAGAGAGAGAGAGAGAAGGAAGGCGAAGCAGGAGGAGAAGAGAAGTGTGTTTGGGTTTTTATTTTTGTTCCCCGAAAACGGTCAGGATTGATCCATGGCTCCCTGGAGCTGCTCGACGCTTCCTGGAATGCAAACAGCCTGAACTTCACACGTGGAAGGAGCACAGCTCGACTGACAGGGTGTCATTCAGGGCAAGCACAGCCGGGAGGTGGCCAGGGGGCGGGGAGGAAGGTGGCCATGCCATGTTTGGCTTCCTGCAAAGGAGCCAAGGGCCCAGGGGCCAGCGGCTCCAGGTGCAAAAGTTCCAAAGCAGCCACGCGATGGGGAAAGGCGGCGAAGCAAAGCAGAGGAGGAGGAGGAAGAGGGGAGTGTCAAGAGGAGGATTACCTTGGACTTGCAAATCTTTTCCCAAGCTCTTGTTCATTCCTTTACAGCTGTCCTCTCCTGCCCTCATGTTTGGAAGCAGTTGTGGGGCGTCCCGGGAGCCCGCTCAAGGTTGGAACCCCTCCTTGGAGGAAGGGGGCACTGCAGGCAACCGAGGCCGGGGCGCAGGGCAGGGAAGGGGTGGGNGGCCCTTAAATTGACATCCAATATGGATTACCTACCATGACTATGGTATCAACAGCTTTTAATTCTGATTTAAGCTTTTTCGGCGCCTGATTGCAAGGGAAATGGACACCAACCTGGGGGTGGGGGGTGGGGGAGATGCTTTCCCCCCACAGAAGCGACTCCCCGTTCTCCAAAAATCAGCAGAGATGACTACATCTGGAGGTCAAGAGGACTCTTTCCCTTAGAGGTGTTTCCCCCCGTCAGAGGGTTAGTCCAACTATCCTCTCGTCCTGCGCAACGGCCTTGCTGTCTGATCAGCCATTGGCTTCCCCTTCAACGGGGCACCCACATGTGACAGGGGTGGCCGAGGGGTTTGCAGCTGCTAGGAAGAAAGTGCAGAGAGGTTGGTCAATGGATAGTGTGAGAGGGCGTGACCACAGCGCTGGTGCAACTCTCTAGGGATGAACCCACCAGCAGCTTTTACCAACTCAAGGCCACCACAATGGTGTTAACAGATGCTGTGGTGGGAGCTCCCTTGGATGCACTCAGTGGGTCTACAGTTGCCAGAGCACCCCCCCATCACATTATTCCTGTCCGTTATTGCTTGACCACCTCCTAAAACTACGGGCGAGGGGAAGACTTCTCAGTCACGAGGAAGCACCACACAGAAACGGAGGACCCTCTTCTGGAGCTGACCAAGGGTTGCCCACCCAACACCAGAAATAAGGAGAGCCTCAACTTGGTGTAGCAAAGGGAGGCCCAAGCTAGAGCCGGGAGCTGCGGGGCAATCAGCCAATCCAGGAAGAGCACCATTATAATTTAGGATGGATGGGGCAGTTTCCTTCATGAAGAGCCCTTGTCTTCCTCAGAGGTAGCAGCTTTCAACCAGGAGCTAGGAACATCATGGCCACTGTTGACTAGGGGACAAGGAGAGCTGTAGCGAGACGTGTTTGGGGGACACCAGGCCAGGGAAGGCACCTCTAAACATTTATCCCCTCTTTGTGGGGCCCAGTTAACTCGCCCCTCGTTTTCCAGAGTTCAGCTTCCAGGTGGCCCCAGAGGGAGAGGAGAGGATCTGACGTTTCCGACATTCTTATGCCCACTGGCATTTATTCTCTGAAACTCAAGACAGTGCAATCTAACCCCCTTTCCTCTGCTTTGAAGGGTTCGGGAAGCTTGCAGAGACCCCCCCAGGGGGTTCCAAAGGACGTTTTCAAGAGAAAAAATAACAAAAAGCAAACTTAATTCGTTTTCTTCCTCAAACTTTTTGTGAGGGAGTCCAAAGCAGCAAGGATGAACACCAGGCGTTAACTGGTCTTCGAGAGGGGTAGGGGGAGGCCGGAGGGGGACACACCCCCCCCTTGCGAGTTAATCTGAAGCCAACAAAACGGACACACAGCCCATTAGCTTTGCTCGTTCTTCCTGATCTGGCAGTCAAAATTAGCCCCCTTCCTCGTCACTAAACTACCGAATGGCACAGAAGACCATTAAGTGCCAAGAAGTCTTCCTGTGCTCTCCATGCACCCAACTACCACCAGTATTATATTCACAGTGTTAGTAACTCTGCGCCTACCACCAACCCCTACGCCGAGGTTATAGGCCAGCTACTCTTCCTTATTTGCTTTCAATTAATGGACGCACCCACAGGAGAGAGGTTACAATCTACCGGTATTAACTGTGAGGGAACGCAAGTGGGGGTTTTAAGACACCCCGAGAAAACACCACGGGAACTAGTAGCATTTGGGGAAGCAAGGTCTTCTGTTCAAATCCAGCCCCAAAAGAGGGGGACACGTTTGACAAGGCGAGGGATGCAAATATGTAAGACGGCTGGGCAACAAGGATCAGCCCTGGATCGCCAGAGGATGTGGGTGAGGCAGAAAACCACGTCAATGTTGCCTCCCCAGTAGAAAATTGGAAATTTCTCTCTGGTGGGTTGACTTCAGCCAAGCAGAAAGGGTGGGGTGGGGGGGAGATTTCATTACCGACCCATCTGAAGAGACCTCAAGGCTTCCGTTCTCACATTGAACCTTTCTTCCCTCTAAAAACCTTACAAAACGGCGCAAAAGGACTTTGAAAGGGCAACTTACTCGTCCCGCAACTCCAAGTTCCCCAGCCTTCTTCCCTCACTGACACCCCAACTCTAACCATCATCCTTCATTCCTCTGCCTTTTCCCTAAATCCACGCACCTGCTTTTTTCCTCTCTTCTCCGCTCTCCATACCAACACTCTTTTCTCAAGTGTGAGCAAACTCAGTCCACCTCCACTTCTCATTCTTTGCACACATACAGACAGTAGCCTACATCCCTCCTCCTCGCTCTGATTTTCTCTGTTTCTCAGAGCCACAAGACCCACGTCCCAATTTAACTTGTCTCCAACGCTCCCACCCCCCAAAAGCACCACTTTTTAAACCTTCCCGTGTCCCTCTGCATAATTCATTATTTTGGAGCGTGCCGAGCGTTCTCTTAAGGAGCCCAATCCTCTGTAGAGGTTTAGACCTAATTCTTTCTGCTTTTCGCTGCGCTTTCACTTTTGACAACTCTTGATGTTAAAGAGCCCCAAAATAAGGGGGCTGGAGCAGCAGAAATATTATGGATAAGGCTGTGGGTTGAATTCGTATATCTTTTTGACTCTTCCTTGTCCAACCCCCCCCCCCCAAAACCCTTCCACTTTTTTTTCCCCGGCATGTCTTTGATTTTACAAAGCTTTCATGTTTCTAAGATGCTGATTCAAAGGCATCATTTTATAGCATTATCTTTTTCCATAAGTTCTGGTAAATTATCTCTTTTTTCCCCTCACAACCTAGCCAACAAATCCAGCCCCGCGCAGCCTTGCTCTCTGTATATTTCCCATTTCCCCACCCGTGTGATACTGTAGAACCTGGACGATGACGCAGACCAAGATGCATTGTTTGGAAGCCACACCAGAACATCACAAAGGAGACCCCTCTTCACAGGCACGTCATGGGAAGCAGCTTCAGTGACGCGGAGGACGCTGTTCCGTGTGGCTGGGCCCCCTGACCAAAAGGACCTCCAGCGGGGGACGGAGCAGCGCCAGGGAACCAGGCGACGAGGTGGACATTCACACACAGAGGCTTTCTGCATTTGTAGAGAAAAGACCCGGGGGGGCTATGAAAATTTGGATGCAGTCACTGTTCCAGAACCTTCATCCCCCGCAACCTATAAAGAACGGGGGCTGCTATTTCCTCCTCTTTTTCCTAACTGGAGGAAGAGAGATTGTTTTTTTCCTCTGGCCCGTTGATTCTACCATGTTTTCCGTTTGAAATTTTTGCACCGAGCACAGGTTCCTTCGATACCTCGTGTCGGTTGGGACTTAAAAGGAGGCCACAAGGAAGAGCTGTGCAAGACGCCTCCTTCGGATTCCTCGAGCTGGATACGCAATTTCAATTTCAGCCCCCGGAAAGGGCTTCCTTGAACGAGAGCTAAAGCAGCCGGTTGGATTGCCCTTCGGAAGAGTCTGCCACTACGTGGCTGGATGGCTCCCTTGTTTTGGGGGGTGGAAAGACGGAGGTCCGGCTCGAGAGCGAAAGAGGGCTCTGCAAAGTCCTCCCTTCTAGCCGGGCAGCGGGTTCTCTCCCCTCCTCAGACATTAGGACGCTGCCGAAAACGGCACGGAGCTGGAGGAGATTTCGGCGGACTTGACGATGGTGATGACGCTGGTGGCAGCCACTTTGGTAGGGGTGATGGGGCCGCGGGCCACGGTGCGGGCGAAGGTCTGCAGGGCTTCGTACTTGGAGCGCAAGGCGTCCAGCTCCAGTTTCATGCTGCTGTTCTCCCGCGCCAGCTTCTCCACCTCCTGCTGGAGCTCCACCCGCTGCCTCTCCAGTTCCTCCTTCTGGGTCACCCGCTTGATCCGGCAGCTGGCCGCGTAGCCCCGGTTCTTGAGTGTCCGCCGCCGTTGCTTCAAGCGAATCACCTCCTCTTTGGTAAGACCTCGCAAGTGTTGGTTCAACTCCCGCACGGACATCGACACGAGTTCATCGTCGCTCAGCACCGGGGCGTTTTCTCCTGACTCCTCCTTGACCTAAAGGACACCAACAGGACAAAGCTCGTGATTATGTCACACTGGGTCAGAGGTCTCCAATCTTGGTCACTTTAAGACTTGNGCCAAGGTTGAGAAACACTGCTTTAGACTGTTTCCACTTCTTTGCGTCTGATTGTAAGCATCCCACAGAAGCTTTGGGCTCAACCGTTGTGGTCGTAAGCCAAGAACTATCTCTATAAAGGGGAGGAGGGCAATTCAAAGAGCAGATGACTCCCAGAGGGTGAAAGTGGCAGCGTGTGGAGGACTCATCCGGACGGCCGTCGTCCTCCCCGTGATCAGAGCCAGCCGGGGAAGAAACCCACCACAGACGGACAGTCAGGGGGCCACCAGACTGAAAGGGACTTTTGGCCAACTGAAAATTCAAGAACGCATGACAAATACCCTTGACCGGTGCTAAAAGTTGATAGGGGTCGCTGCCAGCGTCCTGGGTATCAACCAAGTTCCTTCTTAAAATGTACGATGTTCCGAGTAACACAGTTTTTTGAAGTTCCGCTGGTGTTATTGCAGGAAGCTGCAATTTCTTGATGTGTTTTATGAAATTCTTGGACATGGTACCAAGTGTCCCCAAGAAAATGGGTATCACTGTTTTTATGATGATATATTTATTCATTAAACATGAAACTTAGTCAACTTAACATTTAAAAATGTATCACAAATATCATTGACTGGCGCTGATGGTTGATACGGGTTGCTGCCAGCATCATAGGTATCAAACAAATTATTATTATTATGCCTTATTCATTAAACATGAAACTCAGCCAACTGAACGTTCAAAAATGCATCACAAATACCATTGACTGGCGCTAATGGTTGACACGGATTGCTGCCAGCGTCCTAGGTATCAACAAAGTTCCTTCTTAAAATGTTCTGAGTAGCGCAGTTTTTTGCAGTTCCGCTGGTGTTATTGCAGGAAGCTGCAATTTCCTGATGTGTTTTATAAACTTCTTGGACATGATACCAAGTGCCCTGATGACAATGGGTATCAGTGTTACATGTTTCATCCATAACAGTGTAGTTTCAATGGCCAGGTGGTGGTATTTCATGATTTTTTTTCCCCAGTTCTTTTTCTTCAACTCTGGCATCTCCTGGTACAGCGATATCAATGAACTGTACGTTTCAGCCCTCGACAACCATGATATCTGGCGTGTTGTATTGTTGTTATTCCTGAGCTCCCCTTTTCTCTGTTCAGGCTCTCTCCAAAGCACAAAACAGGGTTAATTATAATTTGCGCAAAGCCCTGCTGATACCGCCAGCTGCCGCTGGGTAACATCCGGTCCACCGTGTTTAGGAAGTGACTGCAAGGAGGACGATTTCTCGGGCGTTGGAGACACGAAGGGGGGAAAAAACCCCACACATAGCGAGCTGTGGCTTTCATCAGTGCCGAGGCAGAAAAGGTAAATGAATTCAATATTGCATCCCAGCAGGCTGGCTGGGGGAAAGTGAGTCGTTTGAAGGGGACTGCTTAAAAATTTGTTTTTTTCGTGTCCCAAACTTCCCATCTTGAGAGGTTGTGAAATGCCCGATAGTTCTATCTTCTTCTGGGCCCCCCCATTTATGATGATTAGGCATCAAAAACACAGCCTTCCTCTCTGGCATCTACTGCTTGTCCCTGCCATAGAGAAGTTTGCTCGGTGGGCGGATTACATATTCACACAGTCTTAGCTTTGCAAGGAGAGACAGAGGAGGAGGGAGAAGGGAAAAACAGAACTGAAACAATCTCATCTTTGGAAGCGATTCATCTCTTGCAAGTTGGGGAATTCCTCCCTCTCCTGGTGCCTTATCACTCAGCATTTATGGCATTGTTATTTTTATGCACCGCGTGGTTTAGTTCTCCCCCCCTCCCCTCCAAATCAGATGCATGGTCTCAATTCCTTACGGACAGCAACTCCCTCCGGATTGCTGCAGGTTTTCCATGGGAAGCCAGAACCACCGGGATACCAAATTAACTGCCGTGATTCACTTAACAACCGTGGCAAGAAAAGTCGTAGTGTAGGGCAAAGCTCACTTGACAGATGTCTCATTCAGCAACATCAATCTCGGTCTCAATTGTGACCCTACGTTGAGGACCTCCTGTACTTTATTTAGATTCAACCTGGCGAAGGTAGAAGGGGAGCCTTTGGCTTAATTGGCCCGTACGATGGTTACCGGAACTAACCAGGTTTGCATAAAGACCAAAGAAGCAGGCAAGGTTCTCTTTGAGCAAACTAGACACCGATGGGTCTCGTATGGGGAGGCTACTAAGATGTCCACCGCTAGTCCAGTCTAGCCAGTGAGCCAATCTCCCAGACTGGTGAAGCCCCTTTTCATCATTAATCATGAAATCAAGACCTTGTGAGAACTTGGATAGCCTCACGGGTGGCCACACGGAAGGCGAGAATTAAGCATCGGTTCCTCCTTTAGAATTCAGAGTAGAGCTGTTTTGTGAAAGTACCTCCAGTTGCTAACACTGAGAGTAGGCTGCATTTGAAGAACAGGAAAGTCCCTGTTATTTTTGCAACCGGCCACCCCCATTTTAGCATCCAGTTCAAGCAACGCCCCCCCGCCCCCCCCCAATACCTGCTGCATGTCTTCTCCGAATGCCCGGTGCCTGCTGATGCATGCTGGTAGGGAGCATGGAGGTAGAATGCACTGAATGGTTTCTTGGAGCAGTTAAGACAGAGCCGTGCATGCACGCTCCAACCGAAAAGTAAAAATGCGATGACTCAAGAAGCATCTCCTACCTCGCATAGGATGCTCTGGTGATTCATTCGATGCGTGTAAAATTCCCTTCGGAGGACAACCCCCCTCAAACTTTCCAAATCAACTCCTAATCATTCAAATCTGGCCAGCCAGTTACGCACACTAGGAAACAACCCATTTAAGAACTTCTAGTATAGATCTCTCTACGTCTCTCTAGAGGTCAACCTTTCTTAGCTCAGCAGGCCACTGGTCACACAGCCTTTGCGGTGTTGCAACCATCGCAGCCTTACGCAATCTGCCCTCCTCCCCCCCCCACAGATTGGGAAGGGGAGGACCAACTTCCCACAACTTCTCAGGAATGGTGGGATTCTGGGAACTATTACAGGTAGCCCTCGGCTTACAACAGTCTATACCTGCGAGACCGCCTACTGCCGCATACCTCCCAACGGCCGGTGAGATCGCACAGGGTGGGCCTCCTTCAGGTGCCGTCAGCCAGGCATTGTCGGCTGGCGCTCCCCGGAGGAGGTCCTTCTCTGTGGCTGCTCTGACCCTATGGAATGAACTACTCCCAGAGATCTGGACCTTACCCACTCTCATGGCCTTCCGAAATGCTGTCAAAACCTGGCTATTCTGGCAGGCTTGGGCCCGTTGACCTCAATACTGAGGTCCAGCCCCGATCAGATTGGGTGCATGGTGATGTTTTAAATTTTGTTTTAATTTTTTTACTAATTACTTTCTTTTCGTCTGTAA